GCCTTTCCGGATGAATTTTCGAACGAAATTTTAAGGGGAGATTCTCCTCGAGGAGATCTATCCAATGGTGTAAGAATCTTTCCGATCCGGCCACTTTGGCCGGAGGCCGACGGCGGCTGTGGCGACCGGCGGTGGTGCCGGTGGCGGCGGCTGCTCGAGTCGAAGGAGCTTTGTTCGAATTTTCAGACGGGACACTGTTTGGCTTCTCGAACGGTTCCCCACAGACGGCGCTAAAATGATAGGACAAAGATGTCACCCGGTCTCCCTCGACTCGGACGGCCACCGTACCTGCAAGAACCCAAAGCCAGAGACCCCAGGAGGGGTGCCCGGCTTTGGGCCTCCGATGCTTAAGTCAGTACTGGATTCATATGAGAATGCATATAGAGAGAGAGAGAGAGTGTGTGTGTAGGGAGAGAGTGTGTAGAGGATGAATGAAATGAGTACCTTCTCCCCCTTTTTATAGGGGGAGTGTACCTTATAGTCCCAGTTGGACCTGGCCTAGCTTAGGCTCGACCCATATTATCATATCAAGTGTCTTAGCCCATGTATAGGCGTATTCTTCAATATATATCCATAAAAACCGATCGGGTACGACATGCTATATCAGATACTACCGGTCGAGCCGACAGTACTAGCCGTAGCTGTATCAGTTGTAACTAAGTATTTTAAATCAATGTAAAATAACATATTAATTATTGTGATACATATGACCAAAAAGTCAATGTAATTTATGAAAGGCTGAATAAAATAATACTATCAAAAGATAATATATACTTATATAATAAGGTATCTTATTTACCAAATTTAGTAGGTTGAAAAGTCAACATAATTAATGCATTGCTATTTCTATCCAAAATTTTATCTAATTATTTTATTTATTTGTCTTATATCCCATAAAATCAGTTTAAGAAAAAAATCTCATAACATCTGATAAGTAAAAAAAAAAGGACGTAAAATCTTTACTAAAACAAAAAGGCTTTATATTTATCTTATTCCATATTAACATCGATTTTGTCAAAAAAAATCCCATAAAATCGGTGAAGTCAAAATTTGTACGTAAAGTCAATTTTTCAAAAAAAAAAAAAAATGCAGATTCAAAATTCCTTATCTAATTCCTTCTTTTCCTTATCTAATTCTTTCTTATTATCTAATTGTATGGAAATCTGTTCTGATTTTGTTCAATCCTTGCATTTGGATTATACCCCATAAAATCGGTTTCAAAAAAAAAAAAACCCATAACATCCGATAAGTAAAAAAAAAAAGTACGTAAAATCTTTTCTAAAATAAAGAAGGCTTTATTTATTATCTAATTTATTATCTAACTGTACAGAAATCTGTTCTGATTTTGTTCAAACCGATTTCTGTATATTCAGAGTCAAGTTTTTTTTTAATAAAAATATTAACAGCAATATATATCTACTCTACACATTATAAATTACAAATCTCAAAATATCGAGTCATCATCTTCCTCACTATCAACCTCCTGCGAACAAAAAAATCCCCAATCCGTGTTTTATTCAAAACAATGAATCAAGGATTTGGGTTAATCAAACAAGTCAATAGGTATAATAGACCTATGCTCAGAGTTCGAATTGTGAGAATGTTTTTCCAAGACTGGAGCAACACATACAAATCATATTTCGAGTTGGTTCTGCATGATAAAACTGTAAGCCAAATTATTTGAATTTTTGTTTTAATTTTGAAATTTGAAACGTATATATATATATATATATATTTTCGTGTATGTATTTAGATATTTTTGTACATATTTAGTGAAATATATTTTCGATTTTTTTTAATTATATTTTCAGATTTGCAACTTGGCTTCTTTATTCTACATATCGTGTATGTATTTAGATATTTACATTATTTATATTTATTTTCGTGTATTGTAAAACTTTTATTAAATATTGCATCTTATAGTATAATAATCCCTAAATAAATATATCCCGTGTTTCGCACAGGTCACGTACTATATATATCCTGTACATTTTTCTTTATTCATTTATATAATTATAAGGCTGAATAAATGACCTTAAAATTGTGCACCCCGTGCATCGCACGGGCTCTGTACGAGTATATTTGTAAACCAGACCTAATTTCTAAATAGTATTGCAATAAATTATTATTACAATAATACATTTATAGTGACTATATATTAGTTTGATATATTATTCATTTGACAGCCAAGCGTAATGTACACCCTCGCAACACACCTAATCAAATCTAGTTAATTATTGAATTACACAGTTTGTAAGATTAAAAAAGTATGATATTTAAATATAATCAATTTTCATGAATAATATTGTAGATACCAAATATAATTATAGTATATTCGAGCCTATTTATTTAAGAATATAATTATATTAATTTTTTTCTAAACCAAAACACGAAGCATGAATGTTGCCAAGTAAGATTCCGAAGCGTGCGAGCCAGCCATTTATGCTCAGCACGTTTTGAAGTTATATAAAAGAGGGGATGGTATGAAAAGTTAAAAAATATTTATTTAAGAAAAAACTATATTATATTTTTAAATTTTCAATATTAGTTACACAAATTTAGTCTTAACTAAAATTTAGAGTTACTTCAGAATTGATTTCAAAATAAAATTTTTAAAATTTATGTTGAAGTATTGATGAATGTTGGTTTTTTTAGAACATATGAAAATTAAATAACTAAAATTTAGAGTTGCTTTTAAAGTTGATTTCATAATAAATCTTCAATATGAGGAAACAGTGACGGATCTAATAATTTCACTCAGGAGAACCCAATTTTAAATGTTAAATAACGAGGTTGTAGTTAAGTCGAAACACTCATTTTATTTACATGGTTCGTGAAAAATAATTTAGTCAGGACAAAACACCTAAAAAAAAA